TGAAATTCAAGCTCCTTTTGATTTGGTTCATTTTGATGTTTGGGGCCCCTCACCTCATATTTCTATTGATGGCTTTCGTTACTTTATCAGTTTTATTGATCACTACTCACGATGCACATGGATCTACTTGTTAAAAGGACATGATGAAGTGCCATGGATAACCATGGCATTTTGTAAAATGATTGAAACACAATTTGACAAGAAGATTAAGCAATTCTAGTCAGACAATGTTGCTGAATATTTTGAAAGATCCTTGAACCTGTTCATGGAGGATGCTGGCATGCTACATCAGTCATCTTGTGCTAGTAGCCCTCAACAGAATGGGGTTGCTGAGCGCAAGAATAGACACCTATTGGAGACCGCTCGAGCCTTACTATTTCAGCACAAGGTTCCCAAGCACTACTGGTCTCAAGCAGTCCTTACCGCATCATATCTGATAAATCAGATGCCATCCAAGGTGTTGGGTATGAAAACTCCTTTCTCTGTYCTTTGTCCTAATCTTCCAGACTTTCCTCTTCCACCTAGAGTCTTTGATTGTGTATGTTTTATACATGTAAAGGATCCAAAGAAGACCAAAATGCATCCTAGGGCTACAAAAGGAATCTTTCTAGGGTACTCTCCTATACAGAAGGGTTACAAGTGTTATGGTCCCGTCACCAAGAAGAAATATGTCACAAAAGATGTGGTATTTTTTGAGTCTCAATCCTATTTTCATTCTTCCCAGAATCCTCTTCAGGGGGAGACTTGTGGGATGGAAAAGGATTCTTCTTCCCCCTCTTCCCCCTCCTTTTTTGTGCCTCTTTCTGCCTCGGGCCTTCCATCTTCTCCTCCTGATCCTCCTACTCGTAGCATCCCGGGTGAACCTAGTGAGGCTCCCATTGTGCCTGTTACCACTCTTGATGCTGCAGATGTTACTGAGGACTCCAGTAGGCAACAAAAAGATATAAGAATCACCTACAACAGAAGGAAAAAGGGCCCTCTAAATCATGGCAGCAACCAATCGGACTCGAATCAACCTGTCTTAGCAACTCCAGGTAATCTTATCACACATACTTCTGATTTGGATCTYCCTATTGCTYTTCGYAAGYCTACCCGTTCTTGTACTATCCGACACCCCATTGCTGAATTTGTTTCTTACTCACATTTATCTCCTCGTTATTATTCCTTTGTGTCTGTTCTCTCCTCCGTGCATGTCCCTACTAGGTACTCAGAGGCAGTATATCCTCCTAGTTGTAGCATCCCGGGTGAACCTAGTGAGGCTCCCATTGTGCCTGTTACCACTCTTGATGTTGCAGATGTTACTGAGGACTCCAATAGGCAACAAAAAGATATAAGAATCACCTACAACAGAAGGAAAAAGGGCCCTCTAACTC